TTTCTTGCTAACTATACTTTTGTGTTCACAAACAATTAGACTACAAATACAAATGAAGATCTAGAGGAAGCCCGAGAATGTGTTCTACATTCTTGTACAAAATGAATTATATACAACTGGAGAATGAAGTATCGTATACTGCTTGAACTGCACCTAGACATATGATTAAGCTTTGACCACCAGAGCTCAGAGAAGAGGAGAAGATAGGAAAAATAAGCAATGGGCTGTGTCTCAATATATTTACTTACAATAACAAATGGTTTAGTATAGCTAGAGGGTATGGTGTGTTACAGGAGGCAAGATGAAATGTGATTTAAAAAGCAGTAGAGAGATGACTCAGCAGTTAACAGCACTGATTGCTCTGGCAGAGGACCAGGATTTGATTACCAGCACCTATATGATAGCTAAAAATCATCTGTAATTCCAGTTCTAGGGTAGCTGATGCCCTCTTCTGACCTCCTTGGGCATTGTGTGACATGGGTGCATTTACATACATACAGGCAATACTCTTACACAAAAATTGAAAATAATAAATAAAATTTAAAGAAAAAACAGATAAAAGCTTACAGAGTTTTTCATGACACACCAAGTCTACATCTAAATATGTACTCAAAAGTTGTGTGTACCGAAGTAAAAGTCTAAGGCTATTCACTTCTCATAACACTCAACAGTATAATAATTCTAAAAGCATCATTTAGAGAAAAAATAATTGGTATATATTTGTGCAATAGAATGATGGCTACATAAGCAATGGAGAGGTGAATGTCAACAGCAGCTCTAAAGTTTCATGTCAAATATATAAACACTGAACATACAAAGGCTCATGTTCAATGATTCCATATTTGTTTGTGTATGGTTTTAGAATGCAGACAATGATTACTTTCAGGAGATGGGTCTTAGATGAAAACAGTTGAGGGTTTATATGGTGCCAGTGATCTGTTGGCTTTGATTTTGGTGCTAGATACTTGGATATCCTCCAATCATTAAGCATAGCTTAACCTGTAAAATTATGGTTTGAATTTTTTCTATTTTCTATTCTTATGAAATAAATGATCATATTTTAGAGATTTTATTTTATGTTTGTTACAGAGATATAGATGGAAACTTTTAGTTGAAGAAGGGTAAAATTTCATCAAATTTAGTAAGACAGAATCAAGCCTTGAGATGAAGGAGGAAATCAATGCCAGAAATTACATAGTTAGATATGGGGATTCATAGAATGAGCTGGACAGAATCTGACATGAAAGATTCATCCCTGACAGAATAGCATAAATAAAGAAATGGAAGGTTATTTTTCCATGAGATTTGTAGGCTGGGTGAAAAACTACAATGTCATTAAGAAACATGAAATCAAAGGCATAAATATTTTGGCTACATTTGCTTTTCCTTAATCTATGACTAGGTGTTTCTAGACAAGTGGAAATTACTCAGCATGGTATAGGAACTAGAGGTCAGAGAGGAAGAGACTTCAGATGGAGAAGCAGATTGAAGTAACCTCCCATTCATTGGAGAATCCTTGCGTTTCACAGGGATAGTCATAAACAAATGTTGCTAAGAAGCATGTGGATAATTTGACATACTGTGGACCGTACTTACTCATGTTTATTGGTGTGATGCTAAAACAAGAATTCTTTACCAGACTTTATGCTTTGAATCCTGTGTTAACCATTGACTGTCATTAGAATCTTTAGTAAATTGTTTAACCCTTCGGAGTTACTAATTTCCTCATATATAAATTGAGATAAAGATAACAGTTACCTCATATGGCTTCTATGAAGACTGAATTTCAAATATTTAAATATGCCTAGTGAGAATTTTTAAATAAATATTAAATGAGTTTGTTGTCTTTGGTGTCAAGTTCCAAAATCAGTGGAAAATCAGTTTTCAGGAGATGACTCTTAGATGAAAACAGTTGAAGTTACATACAAAATATAACCTGGAATTGATCCGCAAAGCTGCTTGTATCAGAATTCTGTTTAATGGATATGGAACCTGGACTTATAACTCCCTGGTTATGTATGACAGATATTCTATAGCCTTATTTGCCACAAGAGTCATACTTGTTTCTTTTCTTATCTTACATAAAATAATTCAATATAGACATTTTGTCTAGAATCACTAACAACAAGTATTCCCTTGAGTTTTATTTTGAAATTTTCTCAGTGACCAAGAATTGATTGATGGCATTTAATAAATTATTCATAGACCCACTTCAACCCTTCAGTAAAGGTGTCACTTAGTAAATTAATGTTTCATTGTTGTTGCTCTCCTGTGGAAAAAAGGAGTAAAATCCTCTAGAACTTTTAATTTAACAAACTATTGCCCAACTTTCGACCCCTATCTTGTCATACTGAAATGTCTGTTGATTGTAATTCACCATGTTCATCGGGGTGTTATTAAGAAAATTGAATGCAACTGATGAGCTTCCCATCTGTGACAAGAGCAGTCCACTGCTAGAAAATATTCAAGTAGATTCCCTTCATGGTGCAGTTAACAGTAGTAATTATTGTCATTTTGTATCTGGGAAAGCTTAGATAAGAGTGTTAAAGGCTTCCTTAAGGTCATATGGAGAAATCCATGACATTCCCAAAAATAGACCTTGGGATGTACTTAACAAGATCACTTCCTGATTAGGGTCACTTTGTTAGGACATTAGGAATGCATTTCTATAATGTCCCATTATATACTTCAGCATTATCTGTTATAAAAGCATCACCTCTCTGATGTAGAATGAAAAAGCAGCCTCAGTGGAATGCATCCATAGTTGTTATTGTTAGAATGTTTAAACATTTTTATGCATATAGAAAGAATAAGATGACAATACTCAAGATGGAGAAAACCCATTCCTATTTAAGAGCTACATTAATGACTTGGTAGATAACAAATTTCTTCGCAGGCTTACATTGCGTTTGATTTCAGAAGTAGTGAGCGGTATCTTCGTTTATGTACATTGCCATATGCCAACAGGAGTAAAAGTCGCTCGTCTTTTAACACCCCACATAGGATACTGAGAGAGAGGGGAGGGGAGAGGAGGAGAAGAGAAATAAGAACTATTTTCTGTTGTTAAGGAAGAAAACTTGTATAGCTCATTAATTTAAAATCTAGCTTTGGAGACTAGAGAGATGGCTCAGCAGTTAAGAGACTGTACTTTCTTGCAGAAGACCCAATTTCAGTTCCCATCACCCAAGTCAGGTGGCTAACAGTCCAAATGTTACTCCTGCTTGAGGGGCCCTGACGTCTCTGGCCCTGTGGGCACTGACACGCCCAGGCCCCTACAGATATACACATAATTAAGAAAAAAAATTAATAGAGTGTAGGCCTCATGCATCTTAATCTTCTCCTTCAAAGAAAATTAAATAAATAAAATGAAAAATGTAAGTGCTAAAAATATGAATATATTTTGATCAAGGTTCATTTATTGGTCATTTAATACGTGCCATGCTTATGGTAAGGAATTTAAAGAAAACTTGAAAACAGATAGCCTTATAAATTTTGTATTAGAAGTAAGACAAGGTTAATCCTGAGAGTTTTACAGATAACTATATTATGTAGATCCTCAATTTGACTTAAAATAATTAAATATTAAGTTAGAGACAGTATATATTAATTCTTTGATTTTTATCATTTCCTTTTACAATTTTAATATATTTATTCCATATATTTAAACTTTTTGCTGTCATATAGTATTGCCACAGTAAGATGTATTTTCACCATTTCAAACCTAATATCCAAAGTATTACTGTTTTTTCTGAGATTTCTTCTTTCCCATTTGTAGGTGCCCTGTACACAAGCAACTAGAAATAAAAAGATATTGTAGGAACAACATATTGTATATGGATAGTCTAATAAGAAAAGCCAAACTATGTGTTTGTCCTTTTCAAAACACTTGCTTTCAGACCTAAATACTACTTTAGAAAATAAATTAAATTCTCTCTGTGTGTGTGTGTGTGTGTGTGTGTGTGTGTGTATTTGTGTCTGTGTTTGTGTGTATGTGAGTATGTGTGTGTGTGCATGCTAGGACTGGACTAGACCCACCTGTTTATCAGTATAACTGCATGCAGGGCCTCATGAATTTTTGGGACTTCAAAGTATCAAATCAATTTTATTTTTGACAAAAGTAATAGATTTCAGGTGCTAAGATTGTGAATATTGTGGTATTTGTAATGTAGATGGTTTTCTTCCAAACCCCCATATCATATTGAAAATGAAAGATGCAATTTACATGCTGTGCAAATGTTACTTAGTCACAGAGTGCTATCCTGCCAAAGCAGATGAAGTTTACTATGCAGAGAGAACAGCACCCCAGGACCTGCTGTGCTAATTAAGGAAGTTGCATTCTTAAATCCTTCCTCGAACACTTTCTCTCCCACGACACTATGTAGACAAATATAGACCACATTATTTGCATTAACAAAATATACATACCACCTTATGAGTTTATATATGTATATGTACTATATAAAATATATACTTATTGTTTGCTAATGTATATACAGTTCTTATTTACATATGCATTTACTTAAGGATCTGTCTGCCTATATTTAAATATATACATACATGGACAGAAGAGAGAGTGTCATTTCAATTTGAATTCTGCTATATTTCATCTTTTAAAATATACTTAGGATCATTAAAAGTATATGAAACAGATACAGTATTCTAACACACATTAGTTTGCTAAATTTGAATTCATTTTTAATCTTAAAATGTATTAGAAATTTGCAACATATCAGATCACATTATGTAGCAGATTTAAAATATCAGACTCTGTAGTCTACATTTTTCTAATCTCAAATGTGTAGTTTCAGAGAAAATATTTAAAATTCAACATTTATATTTTCCATTTGAATGAAAACTGAAATTTTTGATTGGATGACATTATTTGTAGAGGTGTCTGTGAATTAAATGAGAACATTTTTATAAATGGCCTGTGACAACCCCTTTATAAAATGCTTCTTATGTCGAGGAACAATTTTAAATCGAATTCTCACACATTTTAGGCGAAGATGACTCAGCTGCCCGAGGCGGAAAAGGAAAAGATTGCTCAGCAAGTGGCTGATTTCAAGAAAGTGAAGGGCAGGCTGGATGCAGAGATTGAGATATGGGACGACACGAGCAATGACATCATCGTTCTCGCCAAGAAGATGTGCATGATCATGATGGAGATGACGGACTTCACCAGGTAATCGCGTGGGAAAGGACTGCTGATGACGCGATGTTTGCGCATGATGCTCTATCCCTGAAACAAATTCCTCACGGTGGCTGGTCCCACAATCTAGTGGCAATGGCAGCGTAATAGTACAGTCTTAGAAAGTTATAGGCGTATAATTCCGGAGTTTTGGTAAGCAGATATAGCACAGTTTCTCATGAAAATATCACATTATACCTTCTCACCAATACATTCTGCCTAAATCTTCCCAGTGCATCACATTAACCTGCTACTCATGCTCAGAAAGAGATAATGGAGGTATGTGCACCACTGGAGATCTTGACTGGCGATCGCTGCATGATTTCAGTCATAGTGACTTGCAGTGTCTTTGGGATTTGTGACCTATGGGGTTCCTGAGATTGCAAACTGCTGTTTGAAACTGCAGTGACTTTTCCTTTCTTTTTTGTAACACTCCAACTGTCATTTATTGAGTGTTAAATAACTGCCTAATACTGTTGTGAACTCTGCACAAAAATTTCTATTAGACGTCATGTTTTTTCATTTTTAAAAATATTTTATTGAGTTTTTTGGCATTTCATATAGTAGCTCTTAATCATATTTAGAATCCCTCTCCCATCTGTGCCGCTGCTTAACCCCCCCACCACACACACACCATGCGCCCGATTTCATGCATTCTGTCATATATGTTATGTCCTTTCTGGTCAACCATTTGTACCCAGATGTCCTCTGGTGCACATTAGTCCACTGGGGGCTAGTCAGCCTATCTAGAGTCTCTCCTTTAAAGAAAATCTAATACATCCCTGAACATCCTTAACTAGTGAAGCTTCCTCACACAACAAAGTTGGATGCACACAGAAGGTCTCAAAAAGCTGTGTTTTAGATGAGGAGAGATTGCAGTGTGTCCCTGGATAGGACTTCTATATTAAACCTCCCCACCCACTGCTCAGGGACCATTGTGGAAGAGGGAGCAGAAAGATTGTAAGAGCTAAGTTTCGTGCACGAACATAAGATAACAAAGGCTTTCAGGCCACTGGGAACTTGTTCTTATGAACTTAGAGCAATGGAGACAGCATGCAGAAGACCCATGCCGACTCAATCAGACAAAGACCCAGAATGGAACAGAGGAAATGGGCAGCAGGCCCCAACCCTAGCCAGATTACATCTGGGTGAGGGAGAGTGGATAATCTTTAAGGGTGAAACTACAGTGAATTTGTGGTATCGATGAAGGAATTGCACATTGTATGTCTATTCCATAGCTAACTCGAATGTCTAGAAATGTTCTAGGACCTTCTGGAAGTCCTGGAAGCCCTGATTCCCTTTCTCTAAAAAGTCACCTATACACATATTCTGAAAACTGGAACGCCTTCAGTGCCCTCATCACTAGTCAGTATGGAGGGACTCAGGTCCAGTGCTCTCCACACCACCTAGTTCTACTTGGGCCTAACCGCCTGCACCACATCTAAGTTTTTCTACAAGGCTCCAGCATTTGAGTGGATGATGAAGCTTTGTGAATGTCTATTATGTGAGTACTGAGCATCTGTGGGTGTCAGTACTTAGTCTTGGTGTAGTTAGGAGAGTCATGGGCTAAAAAATGCTCTGAAATAGGCAAATTGCATGCAGGAAACATTGTATCACCATACACACCACACAAAATAACTTCATAGTAGAATAATGGATAAATGTAATTTCAAATCATTGTAAGATTTGAAAGAAATATATATTGGCTTTCAGTGGTGGTCAGACTGAGAAAAAGTTTCTAAATGTTGCTCAAACAGAAAGAACTCATAAGGAAAGAATAAATGAATGGTGACTTAAAAATTCTCTATGTCAGTGAAATGTCCTGAACATTATTATAATAAAAATAGACAATTTGGTAACATCAGTAACAGTTATAGCAAATGTGTGATTTCATCTGTATATAAAGAATACACAGACATTATTTATAAAATCACAGGAGTAAAAAGGAAAGATATATGTAAATGCCCCATTTGTCTTAAAACTTTATTAGTAAATATTTGAAAAATATTTAGCATAAAAATAAGTGAGATAAATGTACAACTGTCCAAAACATTTAAAATAGCGAATGTAAATATTATGATGGAATGAAAAATGATATATTATGTTTTAAAATGAAAATATGTGTAAGCTGAAAACCATCATAAGCTTTGACACCCATTTCTTCTGTGTCTATATTTCACTTCAGGCAGTCTATCCCAAGAGGACGATTTGAAATACGAATAATTTTAGAACTCAACAAATCTTATTTTGGACCAGACTTTCATTCAATTTTTTAAATTAGTTTTTTCTTAGAAAAATCACACATGTAGCGTGCACCCTGATTGCTCTAACGCCTCATCCTCCTTTTTAAATCTGTGAACCCTCACCCCTCCCCACAAATCTCTCTCCCACATTATCATGTATTCATTTTGTTTAGTGATTTGTTATTAATGAGGACTGTGTTGGGCCATGGGTTTGGAGCTACCTATTAGAGCCTGATGTGCTCAGCATTGGGTATACAGCTACAGACAGTGATTCCAGGCAGCTGAAGAGCACTGGCTGTTCTTGCAGAGGACCAGGGTTTGGTTCTGAGCACCCTGTAACTCCAGGTCTAGGAGACCTGACACCTTTTTTTGACATCCATGGGCACTATATGACATGGGTACATTTATATCCATACAGGCAATACACTCATACATAAAATAAAAATAATAAACGAAATACTTTTTAAAAAGACAGTGATTCTCCTGTTCCCTCAAAGAGTGGGAAATATACAGTTTGTTAATTAGCTAGTGTTGTAAGAGTGAGGATAGAATTATTCAACATATTACCATCATTGCAGTAATAGATTTAATGATGATCTACCCTAAAATATACTCAAAGAATGCACCAGAATTGAAGCCACCTCTTAAAAAGTATATTAATGAAATATGGAATAGTCACTCAAAGAGAAAAGTACTCTCATAAATTTTATTGACTAACATGTATGGTTGTTCTCCTGTTAATATTTATGCATTGTTTTGTTTAATGTCAAAATTATTCTTTCAAACAGAATTTAGCTCTATTTTGTATTCCTTTGAAAGAAACTCCAAGACAATAGACAGTGACGATGTCACTCCACACTTCACTGGAAACTCAGATATAAAATTTATTTCATATTCAGAATTTCATAATGGTTGTCTTTCAGATTTCAGTTTCAATTTTTCCTTTTAAACTCTTGACTTTTTGTTCATAATCTTTAGTTTTCAAACACCCTCTCATTCCTTTTCATGCACAGAATCATTGAGTGTTGGCCTAAGTTTGCTCAGGCAACAAATCTACCCATCTCTTTATAGCATGTCTCTCTGGCTCTATATCTCACTCACTGCCTCTATATCATCCTCTTTCTGTATACATTCCATTTCTCCAACATATAAACACACACAAATAATATTTTATAGATATACATATGGTGATGCATAGGAAGTCACATATATCACAGTATTAAATAAAGGATATATTTTTCCATTTCATCATAGATAAATTAATTGAAATTTTAACCTAAAATTCATTTATTGTGTGTGACAAATATAGAATCATTTTTATTTTATTTTTTTTAAAAAAATATTTTATTCATTTATTTTTATGCATATGCATGTTTTGCCTGCATGTAGGTAAGTGCCCCCATGTTGTGCAATGCCTGCGGAGGTCAGAAGAGACTGTTGGATCCCCTGGAACCGGAGTTATGGACAGTTGTTAAGCTGCCAAGTGGGTGCTGGGAATCAAACCTGGGTCTTCTGCAAGAACAGTCAGCGTTCTGAACCGCTGAGCCATCTCTCCAGCCCCCTAGAATCCTTTTTAGAAAATAATTTATAATTTTGCTTGGGTTGGTACTTAGGATACAGCAGTTAACCCAATTTAAATTATTTAATACAAATTTTCTGCCATTGAAAAAGAAAATAGCATACACACACACACACACACACACTAAAAACCCTTTATATGACAATAATATTTCACCTCTCTGAGATATACAAAGAGTGTAAATTTCAAATTGTCTTTCAAATTGTCTTGTATAATATTTGCATCATATTCCAGCAGAGATGGTGCTGGTACTCTGCTGTTCCCATGTTTTCTAGTCTAGGGAGTAAGGACTGAGGTGATTAAAACTCTCCGAGGAGACAGGATGAATGAAAAGACAATGGATAAAGCACAGAAGAAAATGGGGTCTAAACAAAACACCTAGCAAATGCTAAAACACTGAGCATAGATTAGGGACTCAGCACTTCCTAGCATTGACTGTAGGACACATAAAACTGAATGGATCTGGAATTGGGGATTCAGTGGACTTTAACTTTTGAAGGAAAAGGAAATACAGGGCAGGTAATCCCCAAAATATTCCAATGTCTGGGAAATACTGCAGATCCCAGATAAATGAAAGACAATCGCAATATATACAAACTTCTTTTCCCCCAACCACTAAACATGTCACTCATTAGAAAAAAAGAAGCTCATTATGTTGAAGAAAGAGAATGACCTTGAACTGGAAGCCATGCCTGGGAGGAGAAGGATTTATACTCATTGCATGCCAAGTAAATGCAAAAAGTTATGGCAGGTGAGAATTAAAACAGCACAGCCATGACACATATCCCCCTTTTAAACAAATAAAAACTGTAAATGAAACTTCAGTATAAACCTTTAAACAAATCCCAAACAGTTGGAATTATATCTACCTACATCCTTCTATTGAGAAAGAAAGATATGTTTATACATTTTATAAATCTTTACTCAAAAGAATAAAAAATGAAGATATGAGCCAGAGTCTGCAGAGATGGCTCAGCAGTTGAGAGCACTGACTGGTCTTTCAGGATACCTGAGTTTGATTCTCAGCACCCACAGGGTGGCTAACAACTGTCTGTACCTCCAGTTACAGGGAAATCTGATGCTCTCTTCTGACCTCCGAGGGCATTGCATGGCATGGGTACATTTATATTCATGCAGGCAATAGACACATAAAATAAAAATAATAAATAAAA